AATCTGTCATCATGTCCACCCTTTGCTCACAGAATCTCAAATCTTCAGTGACTCACCTTTCCTGTAAAAAATTAATTAAAAATACATACTTTTTAAAGCCTAAGCTCCTTGCTTTCAGGAATTTCTACAATCTTATTAAGGGTTTCTCTTTTCCTTCTCCCCAGCGTGCGTCTGCTCTTCTAGTACGTGACATATTTACTCCTAGAGGAGCACTGCGTTCGTTAATATCTCCTTACTGTAGTTCATGCCAAAATGCTGACAGTGCTATGTTGAGAAACCCTGTGCTGAGTTATAAGCTCTGAGGACGGGGGCTGTATCATGTTATTTTATCTCTCTCAGTAAACTAGGTAGTGATTTGACTATGCAAAGTACCGAGTAAACGTTTGCTGAACTGCAACTCAAATGTTCTCTACTACAGTGGAAAAGGGACCGCAGTTCTTAGTTCCATATTTATTAAACTCATTGCCTATTATATCTTATTCTATTTCCATAGGAAAATTCCTCAAAGTGAGCAATAACAACACCCAAAAGAAAGGGATTTCTGCTTGATCTAGGATTTATCACTGAGAGATGGATCAACTCTCCTTTTACAGTCCCTATGCTGTTCTGCTGTACAGCAATACGACCTGGGATGAGGGCGAAATCAAGACATATGATTAAAGTGGCTTTAGTGATTTTAAGAACCTCTCAAGGAAAGATGGACATTCTTGAAAAAGTTGAAGATCAGATATTTTCCTGAACATGGCACATTCATAGAGAGAACCCCAGGACCCTTGGGTTAAAAGGGACTTTTAAGACCCTCTTTAATAATCACCACAGATAAGAGAGAGTTGGGGTTTGCAGCTGGTATTTAATTAACTCAGTTCTTCTAAGGGAGAAAAGTCTTTAGAGCAGTTATCTGTCTACCTCATAAGTTTCTCATGGATTCAGAAAGTGTTCTCTAGCAGGAATTTCTGTTAAAATGCTTCAACTAATGAACTCCAGCACTGTGTAGCTCAGACTAGGAAGAAACAAGTCTGATCAACCATCCCTTCCTGAGATTTTTTTTTTAAGTTAATCTTACAAGAAAATAAATGTTTTGGTTTTCCACAAGTGTTTGTGCTGATGTGAAATTTATTTTCAATAATAACAGAGCAGAGAGAACTCATTCATTCACTCGGCAGTCAATAAATGTTTTTCTTTAAGAGACCTGTGAAGTTTGAACCCAAAGCTAGAATGAATTAGCGCCATCGTGATGAAAAACGTGGATTTTGTTGTTAAGCAAGCCTGGATTCGTGTGTTAATTTCTGCACTTTCTACCTGTGTGAGCTTGGGAAAGTTACTTCACCTCTCTGGGCTTTAGTTTTTTCATCTGAAAATGGATTCATATTAATATCCATTTTATAGGGTTGCCTTGAAGATTAAGATCATACATTTAAAAGTACCAGACACAGGAACACATAAGAAGCATTCAGAAATGTCAGTTATCATTTTTATTATTGAACTGACCATTGTAATTCAAGATATTTTAAAATTATTTATATTTACATCTTTCTTACTATAATTACATCTCTAAGAAAAAATTATTAAAAACAATTAAACAGAATAAATATTAGCTCACTCTGTTAAATCCAGTTGATCACCCCTTGTTCAAATATCAGAACATTTTCAGTAGCTTCCAATTTAAGAGAAGAAGAGGCAAATTGAAAATCCTTTCTCTGTGAATTTTTTTAAGTTATTAGGGAAATAGGAGTTTATGAAAAAAGTTTGGATGAGAGACTACAGTTTGATGTAGGACATAAAATAATATGTATTAAAATCACTGTGTAATACACCAATCAGAAAAAAAACAGGTCCAATAACGCCTCTAGAAAAGCAACACTGGAAGAATGAACTGGATTCTAGTAAGCCAGACGCTAGCGCCAAATCATTAAAGTCCATTTAGCAGAGGAACTGGAATGTGCATTTTGAGACCAGAGGCAGGCCTGGGATATTTTTATTCTTAGAAAGCCTCTTCTCTTGCCCTCTGAGTTAGTGGGGCTTTATAAACTTGAATTAAAGGCGTTACGCAGGTTTTGAGATGTATTCTTTTCCCTACTGTCTACATTTTCATGTAAGAGATATGAGTGCTTGAGAGAAAGAGGAGAAGCCGCTTTGTTAGCTTGGAACCAAGTAGGTCAGCTGTGAGAGGGCAGAGAGCAGCATAAAGAAAATGGAATGGGATCCTTTAGAAAGAGGCAAAGCTGCTGACGGCTGACCTTAGCAGCAGTGGTTCATTCTTTGTGTGCCTCTGTGACAAAAGCTAAATCGAAGACTGTAGGGAAAGGCACCTTCCCCTCAGAGCTCAGATCAGAGGGTTTCCCTTCTTGATGGTCTAGATTCAGGGCAGCAATAGTGAAATGTTAGGTGGCCTTTAAGGGGACAAGTGTGGCCAATGTGACTGGCCTCTCTGTGACAGAGCTCTAGCCACTAGGGAGCCTCAGGTTGGAGATCTTTGATAAACACCCTCAGTCAGACTTGTATCTGACGCTACTGGAAGCTTTGCCATTTGTTTTTGTAGCCTTTCCACACTGCATATGTTTTTCTTGTTGCCAAAATATGTACTTCCCTATTCAATATTGTCACCTATTAATTCACGTAAATAAGGCCTCTTTTACCCATGATTAGAATCTTCCTTGACTCCATGCCCTGATGCAGAGCCCTGCTATTAAAAAGAAAAACAATCGAAACTTTCATAATCATTTTAGACCCTGTGGAGGACTTGTATTTTCTCTTTTTAGCCTGCGTTTTACCAAAATACCATGCTGTCTTGCATATGGATAGAACTATTCATGAGATTTTACTTCCTCTACTTGCCCTATCCAATGGAGCTGCATTTTATGTGATTTGGTCTGGTCCACATGGAAGGTGTCCATCAAATACAGGCAAAGTTACCCTTGGAAAAAAATCCTTAAATTGACCGTATAATAGAGTAGACATGATTTTGCATATGAAATCCTGTGGAGTAATCAATTCTTTGAAGGAAAGCTTGGGTTCAAAAGGAGGGGAAGACTGAAATAAGAAAGATGTAGCAGGAGGAAGCCTGAATGCAGATAGATGTCTGGATGCTTAAACCATGCTGCTTTTAAGGTAGCAATCTAACCCCTCTAGTGAACACCAGACAGAGAAAATTATTAGGTGCCTCTGCTTCACCGTAGCAATGATTCTATTTCATTCTATTATTAATTCTCTGTGACATTAAGAGATGTCACTGAGGTTCTTTGAGGTTGTAAGACTTAAACGTCATGGTGGAGACTCATCTTTGAGGTGGGAGGGATTGGGAGAGGACAGTGTAAAGAATCAGAGTTCCAGCCCAGTGTAAAGACAGCCAATTGGAAAGGATCATGAAAGAAACACTCACAGATAATTTGAGGATTTTGCAAGAAAGAGCCCAGGTGGATTTGTAAAAATCTGATGCCTTGAGGAGCTTCAGAAATGACCTGTGCTTGTGCAGAAATAATTTTCACTCAAGGCATTAAAGAAGATGTGGAGCTGCTTAATTTGTACTGAGTGAATTTAGTCCCTACTTTTATAAAATCTCATTATCAAAAAAAAAGGTGTTGTACATACATTCCCTGAATTCATTGCCAGCTTCCTAAGGCAGTCATCCTTGGTATCACCCTGAAAAGCAGGGCTGTGTTCTTCAGAGGCTCATGTTTTGAAAGTCCCCCTCATAGCACATCAAACATATTAGAAGGAAACCACAACTCATATCAAATATACTTTGGACTGTAAACAAGTAGTTTCATTCATTATGACACCTGGTTTTTATTTCACAGGGTTTTTTTTTTTTTTTTTTTTGTACTTTCGGTCATTTTTTTTTCTTTTGGTAGACCTTTGAAATTCTCAAAGGCCCTAGGCTGGGAGAGAAACCGTAATGCTGGGTAGAGAACCTGGCCTTTCTGAAAAGAATAGCTCAGTCAGTCATTCTGAGGAACATTTAGTACTTTTGTCCCTTTCACTGGAAAAAAAAAAAAAGTATAAGGTCCTTGATCTACAAACCTAATACAAAAGTTCTTCCAAAAAATGTGTCCCCGTTCCATATGTTTTCATCACACAAGGAGATTTTGGATGAAATGTGGCTTGATGAAACCGGACAGCATAATTATATTTGCATT